GTACGTAAATACCCCATTGTTTGAATAAATATAACACTTCTAATAGTTTGATACAATGGATTAAAATATGCTCCAAGTTTTCAATATCCTCACAAGCTCTCAAGCAATTGCAGTTTTCTTCTAATTTTCTCAGATTCAACCACCCATTTGTAGGTTGATCATTGTTAGAAAGTCTCCACCAAAATAAAAGTTACTCAAAATAAAAATTCAGGAGTAACTTTTATTTTTTTTCACCTATTTCAAATCAATACGAGCTTCTTGTTGAATATGAAAATGAGCTTAAGCTGTACCAGTTATTGATTTATCGAAATTGGAACAAATAAATTCTTGCTTATCTTCTTCAGGACTGATTAAAATTGGAGTTTCCAATATCATCTTAACCATTTCATCTGAGAAATGGATGTTTAATAGATTACTATCCCATTATCTTTCTTTATCAAGTAGAGTGGAAACCTTTTTATCTTGGAGCTCCATCAAATTATGGGTTCAAGGCCTTTTTTTCATACTTCTTTCAAGAAACCAAATGTCATTTATAATATCATTTTTGATCCATAATATACCTACCACTTGATAATTGGTTTAAAAAATCAAGCTTTTTTTTAATTAATGATTTTCCATGTTGGAGAAGCATTTCTCTTTTCTTCTTTATCCCAAATTACTTCTCCATACCTTACCTTCAATACTCTATCAACAAGATAGTTCTAATTTTGGATGAAGTTCCAAGCAATTCGAGACCTTAGAGGACCCCGTCTCTTAGCAGCTCCTTGGATACCAAGACCACCCATATTCATAGATGAACACACTATGTTCCATGATATATAGTGCAACCCATGCCTTCCTTGTTCCATGTGCCAAAGAAAGTTCCTATAGAATCTGTTAATATCTAATAAACGCTTTTCAGAACCAATGAGTGAGTCATAATAACTGATGGAAAAGAAGAAAAACTATTTTAATTAACAATATTTTTCCTTCTAGTGATAGTGATCGAGATCCCCAAGTATTTAATCTTTCTAATGCCTTATTCAATACTGATTGGAAATCTAGTACCTTCATTCTTCTCAATGCCATTTTTACTCCCAATTAGGACATCTCATCAACAGAGCAAAATCCCATTATTTTGTTTAATTTTATTTTCCTTCTTTTTGAAACCACCTTCCCATAAAGAACCATGGATTTTTTTTGAGTTGATATACTATCTAGTCCAGGTACAATAATCAATCAAAATCTGATTCAAAATTTTTGCATTGATTTTAGAAGCCTCATCAACAACTAACACATCTTCAGCATATAGTAGATGAGACAATTTGTCAATATTCGAAGCAAGTTTAATGCCAAGCTGATTACCATTGCCTTGTAATGCTTTGGATAGTGGTTTAGAACACATAATGAATAGACATAGAGATAGTGGGCAGCCTTATCTAAAACAACATTTAGCTTGAATCCACTTACGCTTTCTCCCATTAATCTTAATGAAAAAATATTGAATGACATACACATTGCATTATCAAGTTTATAATTTTTCCCAAGAAACTCATAACCTTCATTATTTGATTTAATGTTTCCCAACTCATACTATCATAAGCTTGCTCCATTTCAAGTTCCAAAAGGATAAAACCCAGTTTAGCTATGGAAAATCTCAATCTATTAAAAATCTCATGAGATAATAGGCAATTATCAGGAATATTTCTACTAGGAACAAAATCTCCTTGAACTTCAAATATTATACTAGTAATACAAGAATTTAATTTATCTAAAATCATGCCATTAGCCATTTTGTAGATATTCTATCATAAGCTGATGGGACAGAGTTTAGAAAAAATTGAAGCTTTAGGAACTTTCAGAATAAGGACTACCAACATTTCTTTCCAATATTCAAGCATGATGCCCAAAATAAAGAAGTTATCAATTACATTCCATGTTTTAATCTTCGCAATACTCCAAGATGATTTGACAAAGCAAGCATTAGCACCATCAGAACCTAGAGGCTTGTTATTTCTCATCTTTATTAGTGCATTAGGTATATTTAGGACCATCAATATCAACGTCATGAAAATCATTCTTATTAATGAACTCCATCTCTTGGGGTCCTTGGGAGAATAAGAACCTATTTCCACCTTTTTTTCTCTTGCTTAAATTTTAACTAATTGAAATCACCTACTATAATACAAGGGTAAAACTAGAGGTATAAGAGGAGGGTTCGATAGAGAATCCGTTATATTGTCCTTTTTTTTGATAAACTGCCAATAGCATTAAAAATAAAAAAGGAAAGTACAACCAACTAAGTGATAGCAAACCTATCACTTTCCTCCTTTAACAAAGAAAAGAAATTAGGAGGAACCTTATTCATTTCTAACAAGTCCAAAAAAAAAATCACCTTTCAAGGCATGGTTAGCACACCAATGAGCTAACTTATTACAACCTCTATTAACAAATTGGAATAGAATTACCTCAAATGCTTTTACAAAATCCAAGTCTTCTCCTTTAGAATTATCCACCTCTTGGCTATGATTACCAGCCGAGTTTTGCAAATGAGTAATGACATTGTAGTTGCCTCCCTCCACAATTAATCCTTTAGCATTTAGCATCCAGTTTTGTATAACCTTCTTCAAAGAACGAATAGCAAAAAGCTCCAGAAATCCAACATCCCAATGTATTAAAGAGAAACCAAATGCAAGGAGCATCCTTCCTCTATGGTCTCTAAAGATCCCTCCAATGCCCGCCTCATTAGAGATAGGAAGTGCAGTATCTATGTTCACCTTGATCCATCCGGGTGGAGGGGGATGCCAATATGAAGAAATCAGCTTATTATGCTGTTTAGCATCCCAGTGGTCTGAAAGAATCAAAGAAGATGAGTCAGAAGCCTGGATGATAGCATTTGATACAATGATACCAATTTCAAGTTCTTTGCCTTCATGTATCAGCAAGTTCCTACTCTTCCATGAATTGAAAACAATAGCACAATAAAGATTGACCATAAAAGCGTTCTTCTCCCCTTGAATCTTTAAGAAATACAAACATTCTTCTAGGCTGTTCAAATTGGAAATAAAGAATCCCCAGTTTTCGGCCTTCTTAAAAATCTTCTTTAAAATCAAGCACTTCACCGCTACATGTTCACCATTTTCAATCATATTACAACCTCTAGGACAAAGGTTCCTATCAGCCAACCTTCTATACACCAAGAAATCCAATGTGGGGATAGCATTCTTTAACAATTTCCACCAAAAAAAGAAACTCTAGGATTAAGTTTACTTTTTCTGATACAATTCCAGTCTTTGATCCACCATGGCTCAAAATCTTCATTTTACATCTCTTTTAATTTTAACCATCCAAGATATAGTTCTTCCCGAATGCACTTTCAACAATTCCAGTTTATCACCTTGGCTATCTAAATCAATCTTTATATTACAAATAACTTTCACCATTTCATCTCCAAAATATTCCTGAAGATTCTCTGTTACCCAATCACCTTCCACAATGAAATATGAAAGATTATTTAAACAATCAATATCGATTGATTTGAATGTAGGCCAGCTATCCAATCTTCTATCAAGGATCCATATATCCTCCAAAATGTTAATAGATACACCATCTTTAATGCTCCACCTAACAATTTTCTTTAAAGCTTTAGTACGACTTTTTAACAACTTCCAAGCAAAGGAAGAGTTCGGTTTAACCTCTTTCTCCCATACATTTCTCCCATATTTAGCAGATATTGCTTTGTTGAGAATAGAATTTGGTTTCTTCAAGAAATTCCAAACCACTTTAGCTCTAAGGGGTTCTATAGAAGCAACAACAGATTGAATACCAAGGCCACCTTGTTCTTTAGGTTTACATAACTCCCTCCATGATACAAAATGCAATCCACTAGCACCATTGCTTTTCTTCCAGATAAATTCCCTGCTCATTCTGTTAATTTTCTTTAACACAAAAGCCGGCACCAAAGACATAGCAATGTAGAAAAGCGAGATGGATTGTAATGCAGAATTGATAAGGGTAATCCTACCAGTTGTAGATAAGAACTTCTTTCCCCAAATATCTAATTTAAGAGCTGCTTTTTCCAGAATGCCTGAGAAGTCAGAAGCCATACACCTTTTTAAGGTGATTTTGTTGCCCAAATAGTAGAGTTCTTTAGTCTCCTTGAACCCCAATAGTTTCAAAATAATCTTCATCCTCCTCCTTTCCATATTCTTACTATAAACAATTAAAGATTTCGATACATTTACTTGTTGACCCGTCCACTTACAATAGCTCTTTGTGATTTTGATAATCTTCTTAACATTCTCTATTTTAGCACTAGAGAAAATAAAAATATCATATGCAAACAACAAATGTGATATCCTTGGACTCAAAGGAGCAATTTTCAAGCCTAAATGATCACCATTGGCTAAAAAAGCATTAATAAATAATTGGGAGCAAAGAATGAATAAGTACGGAGAGAGAGGGCATCCCTGCCTAAAACCACTTCTCCCTTGAATTTTATCTAGTTCCACTCCATTGATATGCACCAAGAAAACTGGATCAGTAACACAATCCATAATTAGCTTAGAGAATTTCCCTGGAAAACCAAAATAATCCAAGATTTGTCTAAGGGTATCCCAAGCCATACTATCATATGCTTGTTCCATGCCAAGTTTGATTTCCACCAATCCTCTTTTAGACTTGGATACTTTGAACTTATGAAAAATCTCTTGAGCAAGAAGCACATGCTTAGATACGACCCTCCCCTCAATAAAAGCAACTTGTTCTTCCGAAACAAGGCTATGAATAACTTTCTTTAATCTGTTTAAAAGAACTTTAGCCACAATTTTGTATATAGACATACAAAGGCTAATAGGCCTAAAGTTAGAAGGGGACCGAGGATTACTTACTTTGGGTAATAGTACCACTAGAGTCTCCTTCCATCTAGAAGACATTTTCCCCAAAGTAAAACATAGTTGGATTGCTTTCCACACATCCATCCCAATAATCTTCCAATAAGCTTTAAGAAAGGAATATGTAATTCAAACCAAACCTGGAGAAAAGTTATTTCCAAGTTCTTCAATAACTTTTTCCACTTCTTCTATAGTAAAATCAGCTTCCAGCATTTTACAATCTTCATTTTTCAGGACTTTCCCGTTAAAAGGCCAATTGCTCAAATCAGAATCTCTGTACTCCCATTTTTTACAGAAAAATTGATAGAAAATCCTCATGCACGCTGGATCTTCAGTTAACTCCCCCTCCTCATTCATCAATTGCTTTATAGAGTCGCCATTCCTTCTGCCATTAGCAAATGCACGAAAGAAAGAAGAACTTACATCACCTTCCTTCATCCACTTAGCTTTAGCTCTTTGCTTCCACCATGTATTCAATCTAGAAAGAGTGAAATCAAATTCCTTGACTTTGTATTTAAAAAGTAAAGATTTGCTGTCCAAAAACAGCAATTCAAAAGCTTCCTCCTGTTGCAATTCTTTAATCTCCTTTATCAAAGTCTCTTTTAGTTCCTCCAATTTTTGATGTTTTGCCTTACTCCAGAAATATAAGGCTTTAAGAACTCTAGACATCTTTCTATTAACAACTTCCATATGATCTCCTTTTACTGGTTTAGCCCATGACTTCCTAACCACTGAAGTAGCCGCTGGATAAGATAGCCAAACATCCTCAAACTTCCGAATTCTGGAATTTTGAAATTGTTGATGAAACAATTTCAACACAATGGGACTATGGTCGGAAGCAATTATTTCCAGATGCCTTACAGATGGTATATTAATCAACTCCAAAGCTTTAGAATTTAGTAAACATCTGTCCAATCTTTCTAGAATTCGTGCACTACCCCTCTTGTTATTACACCAAGTAAATTTAGCACTAATAGTATCCACATCATGTAGATCATTATTGTTCATAAAATCCTTCATTTCCTAAGTCCCATTGGAGAACGAAAATTTCTTTCCACCTTTCTTTTCTTCTTGAGAAAGTATGTAATTGAAATCACCTCCAATTATAGTAGGGGTATCCTGTTCAATAAAACCATCCAAAGATCTCAAAAGTTCTCTTCTGCCTTGAAACTCTCTGCTGCCATAGATAGTAGTAACCATCCACTTGCTTTGTTGAAGATTTCCAATTTTCCCAGCACACATTGATCCCAATCCATTATCACATAAAATGAAGCCACATTTGTGTTCCAAATCACCAAGATTCCACCAGAGTTCCCCCTAGATGGCTGCAGGAAACAATTCCAGTCTTCACCCATGATTTTCACAAAATCCTCCTTGGTAAGAGACTCAATCTTTGTTTCAATGATACCCACAAATAAAATCATCCCATTTTTTGATATACTCCTTCAAATAAAGGGAGGCCTCTCTCTTGCTGGCCCCCCTACAATTCCAAAAACTAATGGAATTCATTTGGAAACAAATGGGGGTCATCCCCCACCCATTCTTCTATTAAGATTATTTCTTCCTTGTCTTGAAGATGAATTCAGTGGGCCCAAATGCCTTAGTTCCTTAGAGAGTTTGATTTTTTGTGAAGAGTTTTTCTTAACACTTTGGGTACTAATTTCATCAGCCAAATCAGCAGATTCCTTCATAACTTCTATTTGGACCAATGCCCCAGTGTTATCGTTATGACAATCTTCCATTTCTTTCATTACTTCGCCTTCTTCCAATCCCTCTTTTAATGTTTCAGCTTGAAAATCCACATCAATGACATCTTCACATACAGAGTTTAGTAAATCAAACTTGTTACATGTCAGCATGACAGTTTTAATGGGAGAATCAACATCCATATTTCCATCTGGTTCTCTCTAATCTACCAAGCATTTTGCTTGTAAAATAAGAACCTTATCAGTTTCAAAAGAATTCAGAACAACTTCAGAAGATCCACGCATTTCCACCTGATTCTTTAAATCTTCCAGCTTGTTTGTTAATATTCCAACTGCTGTATTTGCAATTTTAGCATTTACAATAGAAACATACTTCAACCTGATACTCTGCCTATCAGTTCCCATTTGAATTTCCCTATCCTCCAGTAGATGGTTAGCAGTCACAGTATCTACAATCTTCACTTTATTGACATGAGTCTTTGTTGAATCCACAACAGATTTCTCTCCATGAGCTTCAACTGTTCTTTTCCACTATTTTCTAACATTTTTTTGATCACCTTGTAGTTTCCCTATTCTTCTATTGTTCCTCTTCTTGACCATGATCCATGGACCATAAGAGGATTCAGCTTCCTTGCTAATTGTTTTCATTGCTTCAATAACCCGGCTCTAGATTTCCATTTTCTTTAATCTTCTCCTAGGTAATAATTTTCTTGTTATTGCATTCTGATTTCATATGCCCAATCAATCCACATTCATAACAGAATGTAGAGATTTTCTCGTATTCAAAGTTTTGGAAGAACCTCCCTGAAATACTTTCCACCCAAACACCTAGGGGAAGTTGTTGATCCAACTTGACCCTCACACAAATTCTTGCAAATTATTTTTTCCCCCATTGAAACATATTACCATCTATCATAATGGGTTTGCCTACTGAAGAAGCAATCCTTGCTACATTAACTTCATCTCAACATTGAAGTGGTAAATTAGGCATCCTAATCCAAATGGTCAATGTAAGACCCTTTAAGGAAAGGGTAGAAAATTCCAAAGACCATTTCTCCATGCTTACTATATGGCCATTAACAAACCAAGGACCTCCAAATAGTACTCCATCTATATTCTCTGAAGAATCAAAGGAACATAAAAACCAACCCTTGCCAAGAGTTGTGAAATGAAAGTTCCCGAATGTTTTCCATTGCCTTCTACTTCCCAAGCAACAACATGAGCAGGTAATTCCTTTCCAAAAACTTTAATAACCACAGATTTCTCCAGCCTATTAGAATTCAACCTTTCAGCACTTTCATTCATCTTCATTGTTTTACCATCTCTAGCAAATACCATATCTTCTTCCTTGAAATCCAACATGATATACGGCTTCTTCTTCCAAGGGTTAACTTTGTCATCAGTTATACCCTTAACAGGCATTCCTTCATTCAGATTGTTGTCATTAACCAATTCATTTGCAGTCACATTATCTTCAAAATGAAGATTTTTGTTAACAATGCTATCAGAATTTGCATTTATCTCCTGGACAGGTCCAGAGATTGCATTTGAATATCCGAACATGTTAACATAAATTTTCATCTCCGAAGACGAAGCCGCAGGATCTACTAATAACTTCTCCGTTGATAAAAAATTTCTAGAAACCCGAGGAGTCTTCATGTCATTCTCAATGGCAATTGCTTTACCTTTTCCCTCAACATACATAACCTTCTTCTGGACTTCTCCGCAATTTTCCTTAATCACCAAAGGACCATTAGCAGCTCTACATCCAGGAACTGTAAGCGATCCTATAGATCCTAATTTCTTTCGACCATCTCCAGTCAAATCTTGCAAAGAACCATCAGTAACCACATTCACCTTTGATGCCACCTTCAACGATGGATGCCTGCCATCCACCATCATTCCCCTACTGCACTCCTTATCTACTTTTGATTGTTGAAACATCCAATGCTGACCCTCCTTGTCCTTGATTCGTCCATATGATCCTTCTGTTGATTTAAGCGCGTCGACAGTAGGTCGACGGCCATCCCCCATCTTTGCCTATCACCAGCGATGGAGTTTCCAGAAAATTGGGAATTGAAAAAGTTTGAAATTCTGGCAGTTTCTCTCTCTAGCAGCAGTTTCTTTCTCTAACAGTAGACTTCTGTTTAATAATATTTAATAAATTATTGTCCTTACCATTGATATATTGTGCATGTCCTTGAGGATTTTTATGTATTCAAAGATAAGGTGGAAAACCTTATGGCTAATGGGGACATCTACATACATGATAGTGATTTAGTGTAGCCTCTAGGAAAGGTGGCCAAGACTATTAAACTAATACCTAATTCCAATCAGTGTGATTTTTAGCATAATGGTAAGAGCAGTGATAGTAGAGCACCCCTTAATTCTAGGGGAGAGTGGTAACTTGCACTCTCTTGCAAGATAAGGGATATGATCAGACAAGTAATATAGAGTTCTAAGGTAATTGAGAGGAGGCCTACACAAGCCAAGTTAAGAGTTCTTAGTTCAACTTCTATACCTATTTCACTTTTTTATTTCATTTTAATGCCTATTGAGCATATTTCCTTACTTTCATATATTAAGAAGATGTATAAGAGATACAAAATTATTATAACTTCAGAAGGGAAAATGATCTCTCTTATTGCACTTACATTGAAGGATTTAATTCTCCCTCCTATTAATGATAAATTAATAGAAAAGGATGATTCTTGCTACTTTTAGGCTTTTATACCCTTTAGTTATAGTCTTTTTCTTACTCATTCTTTCATGCTTTATATATCTCTTGTAATGAATATAATCCTTCACATAAATAAGAGTATGAGTGTGAAGAAGAGCTTACTTTTACTATTATTGAGGGGGTTGTTATATGGATTATAGGGATGAGTTTGAGAACATACCCAATCATTTTTTGTAGAGCCAACACAACCATGAACCTTGAACAAAATTAGTCTTATGTTGATTGTGAATCAATACAGGATATTCAGTTGTGTTTAGGGAAGGTCCTGCCTCCCAAAATGGTAAAAAATAATAAGGAAAAAGATAAAAATATTATTACCAAATAAGTTGAATATGTCCCTTCTTCTCAAACACAGGCTAAGGAGAGGAGGAAAGGCCCTCAATTGGATGTTGATAATAGTGTGTTGGCTCATTTAAGAAAGATTCCTTCCCTCCTTAGTATATATGATGCACTAATGATATCTTTTAACTTGAGTGAAACTTTAGTGAATGCTTTTCCAGAACCAGAGTTTTATCAACCCTTCTTTGTTATTACCTTACCTTTGTGCTTTGGAGATCTCCAAACCAAGGCAAAGTTTCATGTTATCAAAGAAGATACCTCATACATGACTCTCTTAGGAAAGCCTTAGATTAATGAGTATGGGATGCCTCCCTTTACATTGCACTAGTGCATGTAGTATATGAGGAATGATATGGAATAATATATTCCTAGGTATACTAATCCTTTTACCATGCAATGGTTTTTATTTATGATGATGTTGAGTATTATATTCCTTCAAAGGCTTATAGACCTCTCATTATATAGTCAATAGTGAAACCTAACATCATTGTAAAAAGTTTTATGCAATTATTCACATAGGGTCCTATACAACCACTAGTATAGGGTCCACCAAAGTTTTGCATTGAGGTAGATATTTCCACTACATTGGAGTGTACTTTCCATTGGTAGGAAGGCATGATTCTCCCCTAGTAGAGGTAGGGGATAGTGTGGTAGGGGCCAAGGTAGAGATTGTGCTCTTATTATGAAAAATATTGATAGTCGAATCTGTTGCAAATTCAGGTCTATGAACTATGTTTTGATGATTGGCAAACACTCTTACTTGTCTTGGACTGTCTTTACTACTGACTTTTCAGGAATCAAAGATCGGACGGAAAAATGGAGCCAGCTCAAGATGGGGTAGATTAGGGTTGAGTCAGTCTGTAATTTTATTTTTCTCTTCCTGAGTCAATTGTATTATTTGGTGTGAATGATGCAAAGTAACCCTACACACCCACACACTTGAGAGACTTAGAATTTCTATTTTTACTCAAATTGGCCAGGACGATATTTACATCGTCCTCGACGATCGGGCTTAAAACAAAAAATCTAATCAGGGGTTCTTAATTAAGGCAGCCATCATTAGCCAATCGGCCGGGATGATACTTGTATCGGCCTGGACGATAGGATCAAAACAAAAAGAAATTGCCGCCATAAACAATTAAGGTATTCTGTA